CAGGAATGTCCTAAACAGATGCAGCTATTCACGCAGCAAACATCTGCCCTCTGCTTTACTCCTTCTAATGCTTTCTGGTAGCTTATAAAATAATGATAGCATTTCCATAAAAACAATCCTATTCTCATGCTGAAGCATGAATTTCAGAACACTGGAAAAAGTTTTAATTCAATCCTATTTTTACAGGTACAGGGAGATGTACTACATTTCAACGTTTTGTATAAAATTTTGTTTGTGGCCATTCTTCTATACCACAGTCTGCAGTTGCATACAAGCTGCATACACCACTTAAGTAGTAAACTTTTTGTTTTCTTTCCCTAAAAAATTTGACACAATGGCACTCTGAGAGTTACAAGGTAATTATATTTCTGATGTACATATTTTAATGACTATTCCTAATGCAATGTACGGGGCTGAAACACAGGTATATTCAACAACTGTGATTCATCCAAGTTCAAGCTACTAAAAGACCACATGATCGTAAACCACTCAAACACGAGGCGGGGAAGGGAAACACAGGCTGCTAATCCTTGGCTTTGCAAGCTAGACACCTTCAAATAGTTACAATCACAAACAACTAGAAGAAACTACACCACCACCAAACCCCGTTTCTCACAACAGGCAAACCAGATGTTTTAACCAAGGGGGTCCCCTGAATCTCTACTCCACACACGGCCAAACCTCAGGGGCTACAAAAAATATTGTATTACTAAGGAATAATAACTACCTTATCAAATTACAGTGAAAAAAGGACAAAACCCTCTATCAATGATCATTCCTTCCGTCAGTTCATTCCAATTTCATGACAAGTAGCCTAGCTAAGCAGAAATTTCAATCGTTTCAGAGAAAAGTGGTATAAAGACAAACATCTCAAAATTTAGACTTTGACTGGAATCAACAAATATTGCAAGTCAATTCATGCTATAAGGAATTCAATCAATAAGAAAAACTAGGAATTACATATCTCCTTCTAAAACAGTTATTTCCACAAATTATTTTCTTGTTAGACCTTCTGCCTTGCAAGAGAACTAAGCTGAGACCCACTGCTGATTTGAGGGAACATATACCGTAAGAGACAATCAAGCCTTTTTTTTTCCATAACGGTCTTCCGAATTCCATATGTTTCTAATGTTGCCTTATTTTTTTCCCCTCCATCTATTTTTTTCTATTTGATAAACATCAGCAAAACTCAACGAGTTGAAACACCGAGATTGCAGGATTGCACCCGTTCCCTGTCGCGGGCATCCCCGGCCTCACGCCAGAGTAAGGTACGCTGGGAGCGCTGAAAACGAGCGAGGAACCGGGAGCCCCTCGCGGCACCCGGCCCCCGCACGACTCACCCGAAATCCGGGCGTGCAGGTTCGGCTTCACGCCGAGACGAGGCGCCTCAGCAGCAGCCTGCAGGGCCGAAGCGGCCGCCCGGCGCAGCGCGTTATCAAAAACGGGTAGGACCTCACTGGGAAACGCGTTGAAATACTCCCCGATTTCCATGTTGGTCTCGAACAGGGTCAAGGCGTCGACGACGACCGGGTAATGCGCCTCGTCGTCGTCCTCCTTTAAGATATTCAGGATGTCATCTTTGTGATGCTCCAAAACGTAGGATTCGAACACCTGCCCAATGAGGTTCACTTGGTCCACACTTAGCACCATATTGGACCTACGCCCAGAAAAGCAAGACAGAGTAATTATGGAGTTGGTTTGTTTCTTTTTTTTTATGTGTGAAGCGGGAAATTTGTTTTCACTTGCAAAAGTGTGTCACAAAGCCAGTCAAAAAAAGGACT